GGCCGGCCGTCCCTCCCCACGCACCCCTGCCAGCCGGCCGGCCGTCGCTCCCTCCCCACGCACCCCTGCCAGCCGTCCCTCCCTCCCCACGCACCCCTTCTATCTATCTGTCTCAGTCTCCAAGTTGCTTCAGGGCCACCAAGTTACAGACTAACACGGCTCCCCCCCATTAATTTCACAGCGTTTGTAAAGCTGCCACGGGTGCATCATGGTGCTGCCACCTCAGTGTTTCATCTTCCCGCTGTCCCCAGGATTGTGTTGCAGGGAGCATGGCCAGGAGTTCAGAACCAGGAACATTAGCTCATCTCCGAATTGTTGCATCCCCCAGACTGCGCAGTAAAAGAAAGGCCAGGCAAGCCCAAAAGGTCCATGTGCCACCTGGCGTTCCAAGGGAGAACTGCACGCTGCCCAAGGAGTTCTGAGGAGAGGCTTCACCACCACACGAAGGGATCTCCAAGGTGCTGTTTCGTTTCAGACCAATTCCACAAGCCAAAGGCACAGAGACTGACGGGAACTCCACTCGGCTGGGAGGGGCCGACGGTTCTTGGTGTCTGTGCAGCATCTGCTCTTAGTGCTCCTCCTCCCCTAGTGCAACCCACTGGTTCTCAGCAGCCTCTCACAGACTGAGCAGCTAAGAGACTGGCTGTTGGTTTAGGTGCTCGCTGTTACAGACTGGCTGTTGGTTTAGGTGCTCGCTGTTACAGACTGGCTGTTGGTTTAGGTGCTCGCTGTTACAGACTGGCTGTTGGTTTAGGTGCTCGCTGTTACAGACTGGCTGTTGGTTTAGGTGCTCGCTGTTACAGACTGGCTGTTGGTTTAGGTGCTCGCTGTTACAGACTGGCTGTTGGTTTAGGTGCTCGCTGTTACAGACTGGCTGTTGGTTTAGGTGCTCGCTGTTACAGACTGGCTGTTGGTTTAGGTGCTCGCTGTTACAGACTGGCTGTTGGTTTAGGTGCTCGCTGTTACAGACTGGCTGTTGGTTTAGGTGCTCGCTGTTACAGACTGGCTGTTGGTTTAGGTGCTCGCTGTTACAGAACTTAGCTTCAGGGGAGCCCCGTTAGTCTGCACAGGAACACACAAGCAAAGGGCAGGGAGCACTTCACAGACGGGAGTCAGGAGTTCAAGGGCACAGCCCACTTCTCCAGATGAGGAACCTCCAGGCGTGTGAAGTGGGCCGTGCCCACGAAACGCCTGGTCCCATCGACACTTAGCTTCAGGGGAGCCCCGTTAGTCTGCACAGGAACACACAAGCAAAGGGCAGGGAGCACTTCACAGACGGGAGTCAGGAGTTCAAGGGCACAGCCCACTTCTCCAGATGAGGAACCTCCAGGCGTGTGAAGTGGGCCGTGCCCACGAAACGCCTGGTCCCATCGACATGTTCCCTTTGAGCTTATCTCCCAATGTCCTCTCCCCCCGCCCCCTTATTTATTTTTGCTTTCGGGCCGCGCGCTCTGGTCATGGGAAGAAGCGGGCTGTGCCCACGAAACGCCTGGTCCCATCGACAGGTTTTGTTGGTCTTTCAAGTGCTCCCAGCCCATTGGCTGGTTGTTACGGTTTTCCTGTGACAGACGCACTCGGCCGCCCTCTGAAACTTTAGCGATTGTGAGGTTAGAAGTCTCACTAAGCCTCGTTCCTCCCAGCAAGCACGCAGCTCCCCTCCACCTCACTCATCCGGGAACCCACCCTGCAATCGGCCCCACTGCCAGGCTCGTGCAACTGCACATCTAGGTCATCAAGTCCAGCCATGCCCCTCTGCCATGTGCACTGGCCCAACTGGACAGTCTCTCCGGGGAGGAAGGAACGGACAAATCCGACGTCCGAAAAGACAACGTGCGCAAGCTGCCGGGGCACTCCTGAACGGATCTCCAAGTCACCGTGTTGTTTCAGGCCAATTCCACAATCAAATACACAGGGAAGCCTTGGAATGAACTTCGTGGACAGGTGTGGGACCATCACGAGGGCTGAAGAAAGACATCTGCTGGCGAGCGCGCTGCCTGCCAGCCCTAATGCTTAAAAACCAAACAATGGGCACTTCAGAACCACTGGCACCGTCTGTCAGCTTCACGTAACGTGAACAGAGTCACTATTTTCCCTCCTCTCCCGTTTACCTGGGACCTGGACTTTTAACCCTCCACTCGCCTGAGGAAGTGGGCTGTTCCCACGAAAGCTCGTGAGCCCACCGACAAGTCTTGCCAGTCTGTAAGGTGCTGCTAGGCGATTGGCTGCTTACGTTTTTCCAGTTACAGACTCACTGGGCTCCCCTCTGAAGCTTTTGGCACAGTGTCACTACAGGAATGGTGCAACACACGAACCATCCCCTGCCGCAAATCCTTGCAGATTTCTCCACAGCAAGGGCCCAGAACTCCATGCAAAGGCTGCAAGTGCTACTCACCACAGGCCGGCCATACCTGCCTCCTTGCTCTCCTCCTCCCCAAGCGCTTTGGAAACGGAAACAAGCTCTAGCGGTTGATAACATGAGAGTGGATGTGGCCAAATCAAGGCAGCACGCTCCAGGAAACATGGCCAGGGAGCCGGCGATCCCACGGCGGCAGACAGCGACCAGGAAACATAAAGGCTGCAAGTGCTACTCACCACAGGCCGGCCATACCTGCCTCCTTGCTCTCCTCCTCCCCAAGCGCTTTGGAAACGGAAACAAGCTCTAGCGGTTGATAACATGAGAGTGGATGTGGCCAAATCAAGGCAGCACGCTCCAGGAAACATGGCCAGGGAGCCGGCGATCCCACGGCGGCAGACAGCGACCAGGAAACATCCCACGGCGGCAGACAGCGACCAGGCAGGTGCCCCAGCACGCAGTCTGGCTACAACACAGCATTCAAGCGAGAGGCCGTGGGACCAAGGGCTGCCTGCGCAGACTCCTCTGCAAGGAAGATCTGGGCACCGCACTGACGGGGATCTGTGGCTCTGGCCACTGCCAAGAGGTGACAGAGGCTCAGACCTGCTCGACAAAGCCCAGGGGCCTTCCTGAAAGGCAGGGGGCTCGGTCCCGGAGAGGCTCGCCCAAGGAGCAAGTGCTGCGGCGTTGGTGCTGCCAGTCCTGCCGCCTCGCTGCCTACAGTCCGACCAAACCCAGGGCAGTGGGCTCAGAGAGCTCCCTCAAGCACAACCGGGGAATATCCCTACAACCAGCAAGCCCCCCCGCTGGGGACCACAGTAACGAGAGCGCAGCGAGAGCAGCGCACCAGCACCCCCAGCCGTGGGGGGAGTCGGCTGAAGCCAGGGGCTGGGGAGGGGAATCAGCCGGTGGAACTCAGCGGTCCACTCCGCCTCCCTCTGAGCGACGCACTACGCAACCCTCTTCGGAGGAGCACACCCTGCCAGCCAGCATCAGAAGAGCACCGCTGGCCGAAAAGCCCTTCTCCTGCCCTAGGCGACTACCTTCTGGGGAGGGAGGGAGCCCCTCGCCGTCTCTGACTAAGGGACACGGAGAGTGGCCTGCCAGCAGCAGGCAGCACCGAGACGGGGCTCAGGGCAGCACTGCGGGAACTACTCTGTTACAGGGCGAGAGTCGCTCCCTGAAAGCTGCCAGAGCCCCGGGCAGCCCAGCCCGCTTCTCACTGAAACTACGTCATGCGCAGCCTCTATCAGCCAGGGGAAACGGCCATGTCTAGAAACAGGCTAATTCTGCGGGGCCGGAAGCCAGGCGTGTCAGCTTCCTGCATCGGGTCCACATGACTCTACAGAAGCTCAAGAGCGCAAGGCGGAGATGAAGCAGGCGAGCGGCAAAGGCAAAGGGGCACCCCCTGCCCCCTGCAGCTACTGACAGGAGGTGGGGGAAAGCTTCAGGCCCAGCGCAGCCAGGAGGCCCAAAGAGGAGCTCGGCTCCCCCCCGGCAGAGCAAGCTCCATGCCACGGGCAGGGGAGCACGTGGTAAGAAGCTTCCTCTCCCACTCCAGATCAAGTGCTGGAGCCAGGGAGCGCAGGGGCCCAGTGCAAACAAGGAGCCTAAGTTCAGGGCAACGTCGCTGGAGGACACCCGGCTCAGGCGAGTGCCGCCTCGGCTAGAGAGCCCATGGCTGGGGCCCTGCACTACACAGGGCAGGGGGAGTGAAGTCTGTGCGGCCTGCCCCGGGGCGGAGCCCAACACATACCGGGGAGAGTGAGACCCTCTGCTTTGCGCACTGAATGCGGCTAACACTCAGGAGCCTAGTGCAGCGGGAGGGGAAGGCCTGCTAATGGGAGGAGACCGCTTGCAGCCCTCTTCCGAGAGCCCCCCCAGGGCCGCTCCACCGAGCGGTGTCACGGCACAGGCCCCGCGCAGCCTGGCAGAACGGCGCCACTCACCCTTGGAGGCTGCAGGCAGCGGCGGACGAATCCCCAGGCCAGGAAGCGGAGGGGGAGAGAGGGGAAAACGTTAGACCAGACAATACCCCAGCTAGAGCGGTCCTTCCCCCCGGGAGGGAGGCTCACGCGTCTAAGGTGCTCATCAGCTGCTAGCCGAGAAGTCCCCCGGCCTACCCGCCCTGCCCTCCTGGCGCTGGCGCCTGCGCGCCCCTTCGGAAGGCAGCTCCTGCCCAGCCCGCGACCCCTCAGCGCGGCCAGGCACTTACACTTGGCCTGGGCAGAGAAGGTGAGCGTCAGCTTGGCGAAGAGCTCGTCGTTCTCAAAGCGATCTTCTTTCACCCGGGTCCAGAAACAGTCCTGGGAGAGCTCCTCAGCCACAATCTGCGGGGAGCATGGGGCACGGTCAGCCCGTGGGTCCAGACCACCCCTCCCTCCCACAGGTGCCCACGACGCTGTCCTGGGCCCTCCGCTCTCCCTCCGCACGCTCGCTAGGACGCCCTTTCTGCTCAAAGAGCTTCAGCTGCCATCTCGGAGCCCTCTGCGTGGCTTGTCACCCAGCTTACTGAAGGAGCAGCCCCCCTTCTCCAACCAGCACCCCTCTTCCCAGTCCCACTGCTGACAGCACAGCCCTCCTGCATTCGGGGTCATCTGGGGCAGCGCCCACACCTGGCCAGGTCTCTCCTCTCTCGCCACACAACTACTCTGCTCAAAGAGCTTCAGCTGCCATCTCGGAGCCCTCTGCGTGGCTTGTCACCCAGCTTACTGAAGGAGCAGCCCCCCTTCTCCAACCAGCACCCCTCTTCCCAGTCCCACTGCTGACAGCACAGCCCTCCTGCATTCGGGGTCATCTGGGGCAGCGCCCACACCTGGCCAGGTCTCTCCTCTCTCGCCACACAACTACCCCGCTCGCCCTGGGCAGCAGTGCCTGCAGCCCCCGCTGGTCCCTCGGAGGCTCCCGGTGCG